CGCGGCGCGCACCGAGGTGCCCGGACGGTTTTACTTCTGGCGCTGCTGTACAGGACGGGGATTCTCGTTGGCGCTGCCGGGGCACGGGCACCGCTCGCCCTGGCACGGAACCGGCGCAGGCTGGCCGCAGAGGCGAGCTGGGCGCTCGCCGTGCCACCTGCCCTCCCCACCGCAGCCGGATCACCTCCCCCATGGGTTTTGGGGAGAAATCAGTGTTTCTTTGTTAAGGAACGAATCACCTGTTCGGTGGGCTCAGCCCCAAAAGCGACTCTGGATGCCATCAAGGTGCTGAAAATAGGAGACATTCATTTGCAGGATATTTTGTGAATCTACAGTAGTAAAACAAGCACAAATTCTACCTGCACAGACCAAAGACGAGGAGGGGAGTGCTCCCCTTCTCTTCAAGCACACACATCTAACGCTGGTACAGCTGTGTCCCCTGCACGGGCGTTTGGCAGTGGTTTCTGCTTAAGCATCCGGGGGTCATGCCTGGTGACATATTTGTTACATGAGCTATGTTTGGAAGAGAAACCAGGACGTGGGAGCACCATGTCTGCTTTTACCTGTCCTCGTCCTCTAGGAATCACAGAGATTCCCTTTCGCTTCATTAGTCCCCCTCAGGTTACCCCCTACAGAACCTGGCAGCTACGGGAAATGGATGCTCTTGGCATTCATCAGCTGAGATGCAGCCTGCAGCCACTAACAGCTCTCCTCGGGGGGCTTCTTAGTGCCTTGAAGGATCAGCGCCGAAGCAGACGCCCTCTTCTGATGCCGCCACTTGGCCCGCCGGTTTTTAAACCAAACCTAGAAAATGCAAAACGAGAAAAGAACTTTTGCATTTCATATGTTAATTGGAGGGGGAAGTTACCCTCCTGGACTGTACAGCATAAGCTTTAGGATACTGCGACACATTTCCCAATATAAAAGTTTGATACAAAATTTAATCAGTCCCTCCCCTGCGATCCTGCTCAGATACATGTAAGGGGCACCAGGGAGCTGGGCCACCCCCATGGCAAATCCAGAAGTCACGCAGAGCACATAAATAAGGAATATACTCTTGGGTGCAGGGCATGAGCAGAACTGGGCATGTCTGTGTGTTTATATAGGTGATGCTGGGAGAGAGGAAGTGCGTGAGTTTAAGAAACCAGATACAAGAACAGATCAGCCCAGCAGAGCTGATTTATATTCGTCCATTGCTTGCCAAACCTAAACTGGATTTTGTCAAATACCCAGGAATGGTGTTTAAAATGAGATCCTGGGTCTGCAGCTCCTGAAAAAGACAGCGCAATGCCCCTGTCTCTGTTCTTGGGAGCTGCAGCAAACAGCACCTCAGCGAACGGCAGGCTCTCACCTCCACCCTCTCCTCCTTCAAGTGAATGCGATTTGCCAGGTGCTCGCGGGTGATGACATCTGGGTACTGGTTCTGATGGAAAAGTGTCTCCAGGGCCTGCAGCTGATCTTCGGTGAATATGGTGCGATGCCGGCGTGTCCGGCGCTGGATCTGGTGGAAAGTCTGCAGCTGGCTCGGGCTCCCCTGGGGACTCTTGCAGACCCTGCCTGCCGAGTGAAAGAGCTGCACAGGCCAGGGGAACCGGGCATCTGCAAGGGGAGAGGTACAGCAGCAGCGTTAGGGGCAGGGGGCTGAAACGCCTGTCTTGCTCAAGGCAGTTCAGGCCCAAGTTGCATCCAAGTATGTTGTTTGGAAGGAGGCAGCCGGCCAGCTGAGGTGGGTGACAAGCTGCATGATCACCTTGCCAGCAAGAAAAGGGCTTAGAGCACCACTTTGGGAGAAGTGTGCAAGTGGGGAGCAATGCTTGTTCACTTACCAATTGCACTATGGCCAGCTCCAGAAAATAGCTGGAAACTCACAGCATGGTGAGGAGCTGTGTTGCTCTTGAACTGCATTTTCAAGTTTGCTACTTTTTTTTTTTTTTTTTGCTAGGTGCAGTAATTTTGCTAGATGCAACCAAAAACTCTTTTCTGTAAAGGACAAGTGAGGTTCCCCAGGGCTGGTGTTGTCAGGAAGCACAGGTACAGCTCTGTGCATGGCAGCATGACCACGGGACCCCACACTCCACAGAGAATTTCCACTCCTAGACTAGAAGCATCATCCTCTTAGGTGTTTTACACTAAACCAGTAATCTCCAGTAATAAATAGCACCTGCTGCTCTTAAAACCCTGGTAACATTTCAGGTAAAAGTGCCTGCTCTTGGGAGCCATGCTGAGAACAGAGCTCAGCTCACTGAGGCTGGGGTCTGAGACCACCGTGGTGGCAGGCCAGGTGCTACATTGTCACTCGACACCCAGGATTTCCCCTCCACCCAGTGCTGGCACCAGCCCCTCCATGAGCCCTATGCCGTGGATCAAATCCAAACACTCACCCAGCCAACCTGGCGAGTCCTGCAGGAAACGGGCACTCATGTGAGAACAGCAGCAGCAGCTGCAGCCTGCCCCTTCCAGCTCTTCCTCCTCCTCTTCCTCCTCCTCCTCCTGCAGGGAGCTGGCCGGGATGGTCACCAGCTCACACAGCCCCCTGGGTGCACCATCCAAGATGCTCTGGAGGCACAGTGGGACCAGGACCTGGGGGCTCTTCTCTGCTGGGCTGGAGAGGATGTCCTCGATGCTGAATGAACACGGCTTCTTGAGGCCTCTCCTGCCGGCATCGGCATCCGATGCTGGCTCCGAAGACATCCTCTGCCAGCAGCAGCAGCCACGGGAACAGGCAACCCAGGCTGAGCGGGGTTTGCTCTCCGTGCACTAACTCTGGAATGAGGTGTCGCAAGGAAAGAGACAGCTTATGTAGCTTTTAAAATGGACTGGCGAAGCCATCCGGAATTGCTGCTTTGTCTTGGCGTTTCAAGTGACTGTCATTCTCGCAGCTGAGTTTCTATGTTATACACACATGCACTTTTTCTCCTTCTAACCTAGCTGCTTTATGACTGAAACCACCCTAAATATATATATAGAGAGATATAATCCCTTTGGAAAGAAAACCGTAAACCCCCCTGTGAATAAAATAAATTCTAACTAATCTTGGCAGCTTTGAGAAGGGTTAGCATGGATCTAAGATTTAGCTAATCCCACAAAAATGACTGGAGAAGGAAATCTGATTTCTCTATCTCTGGTGTAGATTTGAGGTGGTTATGATCTCCATTGTGCTGCAGCCTCCGATCCAAGGAAGGGGGAGGATAGCTGTTCCCAGCCCAGAAATGGACCAGAGGATTAACTCCTTAAAAGAAGCAAATTATCCCTTTCTCTGGCCAAATGAAAGCTTTCCCATCAAAAGAGAGCTGTCATATCATACAATATGAGAGAGGAGAGAGTTCAGCTTAATAAAAAATCATTTTTAATGATAGCACAGCCTTTGGCAGCACCAGAACTCCCTGCGAAGGTTGATTTATTTTCTGCCGAAAGCAGAGAAATTGCATTTTCCCTCCTTTCCCTTTCCCCCACCTCCGCTGCCCTAATCACTGTGATAATGCAGATACTTTGCATGTGTCCACCACACTCTTTGTAAGGATTCAAAGCCCTTAATAAATTAGATTACTGGCAGCTTGTGGCAGCTCTGTGGCTTAGCTTAGTGGCATGGAGCCACCTCCACTACAGCTGAGCTGTACCCCCCGCTCGGCATCGGGAAGGGATGGGAAGGGGAGGGTTGCTGCCTGCCATCTCCGTGTGCAGGCAGGCAGGCAGCGAGGTCCTGCAGCAGCTCAGGCAGGAGCGTGGTCTCGGTGCCACAGCTAACGGGCAGTTTGGTGAGCCCAGAGCAGCCGGGACGGCTGGCTGGTGCAGTCAGGCTTCCCCAAAGCTGTGTCAGTTCAATTCCCAATTTCTGCTGTCCAGCAAGAGGAACTGGGGTGAGGCCACGACCGAGAGTGGTGGCTCAGGATGGGAGGGGAGGCTTGGCACCGACCCGCCCGAGGGAAACAGCAAGGCCTGGCAGATGTGATCCACCAGAGGAGAAAGGACATCTTCCATCTTGCGTTTATAACTAAAATGAGTAGCTGGGGTTAAAAATTGAGAAGGTGTGGTTGAGCTCAGGTTGCTTAGGAAAGTCTAAACCCAAGCTTTCTTGCCCTCAGTGTGGTTTAAGCCAAGGTGAGTCGCAAGGCTTGAGGAGCTCAAGTGGGGAATGCTCTCCCGCTTGGTGTTTCTTTGCAGGGAAGAGGAGATACCAGTCCCACTCATGGTACCCTGAGGAGACACACAGGTGACTGCTGTGAAACCACTGCACATCGTGGCACCTCGTGACTTCACACTGAACAGCCCAGAAACCCCTCCAGCATGGCGCAAAAGGAGAGCCAGTCCCCCGGAGAGCCACCTCTCGGTCCCCAGTCTCTTCTCCATGGCCCTGCTTTCTGCCTGCCCGTCCTCAACCTCCTGGTCTCCCACTGCTGGGAAGAGATGCCCCATAGCTGCTCTGCCTGGGACTCTCGGGTCTCAGTAAATCTCACTTATAGCCAAACCACGGTTTTCCTTCCATCCCTTTATTTGCCTCTGCTTCAGCTCTTCTGATGGCATAACAAAAATTATAACTGTGCCCTATGAATCTTTACGTATTTTCTATATGTTTGAAGGGAAGATGCCTTTGTCGCCGCCCGGTCTGGACATGTTCTCTGCTGCCCTGCCAAGGTGTCAGCGCTCCACAGAGGAGCTGGGGATGCTAACGCCAGGGATCACCACGAACTGCTCCCAGCTTCTGTGCCTATACCCAAATGCTGGCACAGGAGATGGACATGGGGCCAGGTTCTGCTCCCCACACCGTGCCGATCCAGCATGATGGCAGGGCAGGCGAGCTGGGACGTGCAGCGGGCAGGCGCAGGATCCGACCCTTTCTGTCCTTGGCTGTAATAATCATAGGCCCGAAGCAGATTAATTCTGATTCCCCATCCTTAACAAAGGACACCTTTGCCTGGCCTCCCCTGCCCGTCCCTGCCTTCCCACCACACATGCACTTAGCCTATTAGGATCTCCGCTGATTGCTTTCTTTCATTCCTCCTATACTTTTCACTTCAGAAAAATGGACTGGTAATACTTCTTTTATCAAAGAATTATGGGATTTAGGACCCAGATCTTACAAAGAGACTTTTGATAGCTGCTGGTAATCAAATCCCAATCAGCAGACACTTCTCTGCACCCTGTTACCGGAGAGGAATAAAGGAAAGGGATTATTGATGTTCTGTTTACTGAGCCTCCAGGAGATATGATCGCTGGGCTATTTCATATTAGAAAAGGGAAGGAAAATAAAACAAGAAAGAAAAAAAAACGCAGACCAGGGAGGACAATATAGATATAGATAAAAAGAAAAGAAACAGGCTCTTATCATTTTCTTATTGGTTAAGGAGATTCCAAAGCCATTATAGAGGATTAGCAAAAAGGTTAATCTGCTTTAGCCGTTCACTTGTCAAAAGTGAATTTATAGGGTTTGAAAATCCATCCTACAGTGAAATCAGAAAAAATCCCCCTCTCTCCCTACCTCTCCCTCCTGCAGGCAGCACAGGGGATGGGAACGGGAGCCTCAGAGACCCCAAAGCATGGGAGCACCCCTCCTCACCTTGCCCCTGCCTGGGTGCTAGCACCCATTGGAGCTCTGGTTTGGCAGCGCTTCCTCCTCTCCCTCATGCGTGTGGGGTGGTCATGGGGCTCAGGGAGCAGAGGAGCAAGTCCAAGGGACGTGACCGTCCTCCCACGCTGCTCTGTCTTACCAGGGGTGAATCCCAGGCTGTTTCGCTGGTTGATATCGGCAGCAGCCAGGGCAAACCTGGACCCGTGACTGGATTTGGGCATCCAGGTTGATTTCTACAGTGGAACCGAGATGGACGCTGCTGGTGAATGTTGCCAAAAACTCCAGGCTGGGACTTATCTGTCCCAGCACAGTGCTCACCCAGGGAGCCACATCTCAGCATTCTGCTGGCCAGCCGGCGCAGACACAGGAGGCCTGTCCCAGCCACAGTCTCTTGGCCTGCCTGTGCCACTGATTCGCCCACCGGCTGATGCCCATCACTTGGCCCAGCGCTAGAAATAACCCAGGGAAGAAACAATCCGAAACCAGCCAGGAGCACTTTCTTAATAGCTGCTGGGTGAAGTTCAGTGGCATGTGTTAGTCAGGACTTATAACTACATTTAATAAAGACACAGAAATCATAGAATCAGAGAATGATTTTGGTTGGAAGGTTCCTTTAAAAGTCATCTAGTCCAACGCCCAAATCGTGCCTGTTAAAATATAGGTCAGCCCTGTGGTGAGAAGAACCCAAATAAAATAATTTGGATTTGATGACAATTAACATTGAGTGTTATAACAAATCTATCTCTCTCTCCAAAGGCCATGCCATCCTGTAGGAAGAAGTGGAGTCCCACCACTGGCTAATAGTGATAATAGGGGTGGTGGCCAACAGGGGTGGTGGCTAAACAGGGATGGTGGCTAACAGGGATGGCGGCTAATGGGGATGGCTAACAGGGGCACTGGTTAAACAGAATGATGGCTAACAGGAATGGTGGCTAACAAGGGTGCTGGCCAACAGGGATGGTGGACAGTGGCCAACAGGGACGGTGGACAGTGGCCAACAGGGATGGCGGCCACGGCTTAGCAGGACAACTGTGGAGAACCAAACCTCCTCTGCCTCAACGACTCAGCGAGACAAACTCTTCCACTCTGAAGCATTTCGGTCACTATTTCAGCCCTCTTTCACAGC